TCATTCATATTTTGCTGGCCTACTGCAGGCTAGACAGTGGTTTAGGCTTTGAGAAACTGAGATCACAGTGATAGTAATAGTAATAACAAAAAAACATTTATTAAACGTGTATTCTATATGTGCCCGGCACTATTCTAAAGGCTGGGTATTTACTAACTCATTTACCGATAGGATAGGCAAAATTATTATTCCTACTTTAGAGATGAAGCAAAGCAGTACAGTAAGTGGTGGGGCCTGGATTGTAACCCAAGCTGTCTGACTCTAGAGCCCACCCACTTAGGTACTCTGCTGTACTACACGGAAAGCCTTCATGCAATTTCCATATATTTGTGGCTTCCATTACAGTGTACCCCATAAGTTTTTTTTTAAAAATTGTATAATATGGGCGTGTCTTCATATTGTAGAGCCTTGAATTTTATAAGGTTGCCAATGAGGCGATATGGGCTTTACCTTAGTTGTTCTCATTACTCGGCGATCTGGGAGAAAGATACTAAACCCATCAAACAGTTCTACAACTTTCCTCCTGGCTTTGACTCCATGGGTGGTAATCGCGAAGGCACATCCAGCAATTTATATCTAGTCAGACAACATTAAAGTAATCCATGTCTAATTCTCAAACTTTATGCGATAAGCAATAGAAAATGCTAAACATTTAGCTTATCTGCCTTGCCATCTTGAGACATAACCTGCATTACCAGATTCACCTTTCTGCAACGAACTAAATTATTCATTAAATCTCAGTTACTCAATCAGAGAAAGAACCATGCAAATAGAATTTTCAACTAGAAACTTCAAGAGAGAATTTTACTTGAAGCAAAATAAGGAAGAAATTGGAATGATCCCAATCCCAACAGTCAGGCAAGCAAAACTGATAACGAAGTTGAAACAATGACGTGCTTCAAGAGCCCCGGCCTAATTAACCACATGGGAATAGCACCTATACTTTTCCTAAAATCCAGAAGCAATTAAAGAATAAACTGATAAACTGGAGTACATGAAAATAAAATACCATAAGCAAAGTCATCAATTCTAATACTGACCACATTGTGGACTGCCCCACCACAACTCTTCCAAACCTGCCCTCTGAAAGGACGGCAATGGTTCCCACTTGCCAAACCAGCAGTCTCCTTTGACCTTGACCAGCATCTCTGGGTTCTCTCCTCTCCTGGTTTCTGTGATCCTTGTTTCTCCTTCCCCCAATCCTAAGTGCCCTACTATTCCCTAGCGCTTCTTCCCAGCTCCTAACATGGCTGTCCCCAAAAGTTCAGGCTTGGATCTTCTGTTCGTTTCTTTCTGGTTTCCTTCCCTTAAGGATCCTAACTATCCTAAGGTCTGCTGCTCTAATCTCTCTCCTGAACTATAATCCTATGGCTCTAACTGCTCAAAGACATTTTTACATGAGTATCCTGATATTAGTAATGCAAATTCACATCTTAAACCAAATTCATCTTTTCCTCGAAACTTGACTTCACTAATCTTTTAGATGTGGCCTCACACATCACACACACACACACACACACACACACACCACACACACACACACACACATGTTGGAGCTCCTCTCTGCACTCCCTCAACACCATGTCTATACCTCAAAAAGCCCAGATGACCCTGTTATAATCTCTGGTTCATGGGTATGTTTGCTTGCCTCTCCAAGGAGATTATAAACTCCCTGAGGGGCAGGAATTGTATCTTAATTGCCTATGTATCCCCAGGGACTTTTGCAGGCGCTCAATATAATCTGCTAAGAGAAATTAATCAACATGGACCATCTGTTCCAGCCAAACTGGTCCATCTAGAGCAGTGGTTCTCAACCTTCCTGATGCCGCGACCCTTTAATACAGTTCCTCCTGTTGTGGTGACCCCCAACCAGAAAATTATTTTCGTTGCTACTTCATAACTGTAATTTTGCTACTGTTATGAATCGTCATGTAAATATCTGATATGCAGGATGTATTTCCATTGTTATAAATTGAACATAATTAAAGCATAGTGATTAATCACAAAAACAATATGTAATTATATATGTGTTTTCCGATGGTCTTAGGCGACCCCTGTGAAAGGGTCGTTCGACCCCCAAAGGGGTCGCGACCCATGGGTTGAGAACCGCTGATCTAGAGTGTCCACATGATTGGCATTTTCACAGATCCCACTTCCAAGAGCACTTCTCTCTCTGCTGCTGCACATATGGAAAAGCCCTACTCATCCTTCACAAGACTTAGCTAAAATTTCATCTGCACCATGAAACTTGATCAGGTGACCCTTTCCTAGACTCCTCACTCATCAGTCTTACCGTGGCAGTTCAGTGTCATAAAACAGTATCACCTTTAAAGCTACATAGGCCTGATTTAAAACCAAGCTCTAACATAAACTAGCTGAAACTTTGGGCAAATTCCTAAAGCTTTTTAACCCTTTGTACACCATAAGCGTCTATAGATGCTTTAAAAAATCATTTTTCGTGAGAATTTTCAACTCAAAATATTCAAGAACACCCAAATTGTAATATATTTATTTTTATAATATTCATTGAAAATGTATTTTTTTAATTAAATTCAAAATATCATGGCGTGTGGGGATGGTTTCCGTTTTGGAAGCATGGCAGTTAACTGGTTAAAGCTATAAAGTTAGGTAAATAATACCTATCATACAGGATTGGGGGGAGGGGTAAAGGAGAGTAAACACAGTGGATGTTCGGGGAAATGTTACCTCCTCCCCACCTCACCTCCCTCCACTTCATTTACCATTGCTGTAGCCCTTAAGTTGATAATGTATGTCATGTCTCCTTAATTAGATCCCAACGATTTGTAAGATCCTTAAGGGCAGGAGCTGAATCTCATTCATCTTTCTATCTTCCAAGCATCTATCAATGTATCTTACATAGAAACACAATAAAAATTGAGGAAAATGAAATGACATTTACAGTGGATTATGGCAATCAAGTGTAAACTGTGCCAAGATTAGAACTGACAATCGTAAGTATTCATCCAATTTAGCTGCAAAATTATTACATGGCACCTCGGTAATTTCACTAATGCCAAAGGCTGATTTCAACAAATGACAGTACAAGTAAAGACAAACCTATTTGTAGAGTGTACATATTAATAAGTAATCTTTGATAATGACATGAAAGGTGTCTTAAAATAAATGTTACAGTCAGTATTAGAAGACTATACATGTTTTTTCCCATGTGCTTTTATGCAATGGTATTCTTTCACATATTCTTTGATTTAATATAATTGTAGCAGATCTTTTCATACCACTTGTTAATGAACTGAACCTAGATTGAGACTTTTCTATTTTTGCACCAGGGGTCAAAATTAAAGACTAAAACAAAACTGGTACGATCAAGATTCAAAACTTGTAATAAATACAGGTAAAATCTTCCAAATGTTTTAATTAAAATGTCTTCTTTCCAAATTGCTTTCATTAATATCAAGCCTTTAAGATCTCCTCTAAACTTATTGGAATATTTTTTCTCTATCCTGATTTATCATGACTTTCCTTCACCACATATTATCTTCATCAGGGATCAATTCCCATGGTTGGGTTTCATTTTTCTTTTAACTACTGCCCCACTTGCATGTGCTAACAGGTTGGAGGAGATGCAACTTTTGCTGCTTAGTAACCTCCACGCTAACAATCAACTCTTCGTATTCTGTCAACCACACTCCCTTTCCCTAGAGAAACTTTCAATAGTTTTCATAGACTGGAATGTGCAACTATAAATTTAATTTGAAAAAGCAATTAAGAATAGAAGAGTGTGTGCCAAATACTCTCCTTTCAAAATTTTCATGCTTCCAAGTTTGTTTTGTTTTGTTTTCCCATGTGGAGAAGTTCACGGTAAGAAATAGCGGCATTCTGTTCTATCAGGCCAATCCACCGGAGCACAGCACACACATACACATACACATACACACACACACACACACACACACACACACACACACACGTGTACAAACACACACAGCAATGTCATTGTCTATGGATAAATATAAAATAATTTTATATAATGTATTAAAGTTCCAATTAAATACTTCACTAGACAAACTAATATACCAAATTCTATACACAATATACCCATGGAAATTTTTTCTTTTTGAGAAACAGAATCTAGCTTGGAAACATATGTTCACAGTCCAGTAAATAATTTTTGGAGCCATTATCACTCTCTAATCTAGATTTATATTCTTGCAAGCAAATTTTTACTCAGAATCATAACATATCTAAATTTTCCCTCTCAACCAATCAAACTTAATATAAGTACCAGAGGTTAGTTTTTCATATCTTGTGCTAAGAATGTCTATATAATGGTCTTCACATAAGCCTTAATTAAAATTCATTTATTTGTTTTTAATGTTAAAAAACAGTAGCACCATTAAATGAGAAGATTCTTAAATCATTACTCACTTCCAATTTCCTATGCAAAATACCAATATACCTTCATTCTCCAAACACACACACACACACACACTTCCTAAATTGTGCCTTTATAGTTTTAACTTTTTATATGTGGCAACTTTTGAACACTAATTGTTTAGCATATGTGTTTTCTTTTTAGTTGCTTACAGTTTTCTACAAGATCTCTATTATAGCATGCTGTTTGTTGTTCCTATTAACTAATACTGCTTAAAACATGAAATTGAAAATTTTTATTTTAATCATAACTTTGCAGCTAAAATTCTTTTTCCAAACTTTGCAAACATTCTGTACAACCTAAATTAGTGCTCAGATCAAACTGGATCTCAATAGTTGCTCAATGTTCTTCTAAAGGTGAAAAAGCATTTGTTTATCTGAACTACACCCATTTTCAATTTCAACACAGCAAACCTCTCATTTGTTCTTAAGGCAACTTTTAAGCCATACATATTGGGATTGGTTATTACTGAAGATAATTTATGCAATCATGAGCCAAAGATGCTAAGTTGGCTAGAAGAAAACCATGCAAGTAAGCAAACTCTACCACATGTGGGACACACCTCCTGTGCATATATAAAGGCTTGCCACTGTCCTTGGTTGCAGCAGGCACTCCCTGGGCTAAACAGCATCACCATGTCTGTTCGATACAGCTCAAGCAAGCAATACTCTTCCTCCAAAAGTGGAGGAGGAGGTGGAGGAGGAGGATCCATCAAAATTTCGAGCAGCAAAAGCTCCCATGGTGGAGGATATAGCTCAGGGGGCGGTTTCAGTGGTGGCTCTTTTAGCCGTGGGAGCTCTGGTGGAGGCTGCTTTGGAGGCTCATCGGGTGGCTATGGAGGTGGACTAGGAGGTGGGTATGGTGGAGGTAGCTTTGGTGGAGGCTACGGAGGTGGCAGCTTTGGTGGGGGCTATGGAGGAGGCAGTTTTGGAGGAGGCAGCTTTGGAGGGGGCAACTTTGGTGGGGGCTTCGGCGGAGGCGGCTATGGAGGAGGCTATGGTGGTGGATTGGGAGATGGTGGCCTTCTCTCTGGAAATGAAAAAATAACCATGCAAAATCTGAACGACCGCCTGGCTTCCTACTTGGACAAAGTTCGGGCTCTTGAAGAATCAAACTATGAGCTAGAAGGCAAAATCAAAGAGTGGTATGAAAAGTATGGCAACAGAGGCCAGAGAGAGCCTCGTGACTACAGCAAATACTACAGAACCATTGAAGATCTTAAAAATCAGGTAAGGAGCATTTAAAAATCCAACTGTAAGCCTATTTTTCATCCATGTGATTCAGATAGATCAATTTTAAATGAACCATGATGTAGCTGTCCATTTTGTATGCCTATGTTACTTTCTTGCTTCCAAAATCAGTCCTTTCTCATCAAAGGTAAATATTTGTGAGGGTATGGTCATTTCAATATTCATCCAAAAATGTGTGTTGTGTGTCTTATAGGATGGTGGATTAATGAAAATGTTTTTGTTTTAATGAGTGTAGAATGAGTCTACAGTTAAAATACATTAGATCATTTATAAATAGGAAAACAGAAAGAATTGTTAAATGAGTCTGAACAAAATATCATTCGGGTTGATAACAAAAAAAAATACTTATTACCTACATTGCAAGAAACATGAACTCTCCAGTAAGGAAATGATATATTGTTTGCGTCTAGAGATTTGTGAACTGTACCTACAGTGTACCAGCTTAGAGTGTATTCATTTAGAATATATTTTTATTAAACCAAATACAGGTATGACCCAGTATTAGCTGAAATACATGGAAATCACACAGTGTAAGAGGAGGACATATATGTAGGAACTCAGCTATATAATTCCAGTTAGTTTTCAAAAAGAGATGATAGAGAAATAGAAGAGTATAGAGCCTTCAAGAGAACAAATGACTCAAGTTTAAGTGTCAGGGTAAGCCTGCAATATTTCATATTTAAAATAAAAAATTCCCCCCAAATTTTTAAGAGAACAACATAAAAAATGTAGTTCATCTATGCCACTTTAAAAGCCATATCTATGTCTTATTTCTTTACCTCTTCCCACAGATCCTTAATCTAACAACTGATAACGCCAATGTCCTGCTTCAGATCGACAATGCCAGGCTGGCAGCGGATGACTTCAGACTGAAGTAAGCTAAATGGATGGAGTACGGTACTGTCACAACAAATATATGAGTTTGTTTTTAACAATGACGTTGGAAATCCACAATAGCATTTACATTTTTCCTGAATTCATTTAAAGTTAAAAGTACTGGAGACGTCAGAGATATTTTCCGTTTCAATATTACCTTTTTGAGCAATATTAAAAGCAGAAAATGCATTTTAAAGTAACTGCTAAGCTTCTTTGCATTAAACCACTAATATCCTATGTGAGTTAGTACATGATAAATGTCGCCATGATATGAAGTCAACTCTATATTTGCTTTTTAAATAGTTTTCTGCCCAAGTACACCTCCCTTACTTATGTTATAACCAGTTACCATACCATGTCTGTTTCAGGTATGAGAACGAGGTAGCCCTCCGCCAGAGCGTGGACGCGGACATCAACGGCCTGCGCAGGGTGCTGGACGAGCTCACCCTGACCAAGGCTGACCTGGAGATGCAGATCGAGAGCCTGACTGAAGAGCTGGCCTACCTGAGGAAGAACCATGAAGAGGTGATGCAAAAAGTTATCCGTACTTCCCCCAGCCAAAAGATTGCTCATTTTGGTCACAGTGCAGACATTAAATTTTTCTGTTCCTCAAACAGGAAATGAAAGACCTTCAAAATGTGTCCACTGGTGATGTGAATGTGGAAATGAACGCTGCCCCGGGTGTTGATCTGACTCAACTTCTGAATAACATGAGAAGCCAGTATGAACAACTTGCTGAACAGAACCGCAAAGACGCTGAGGCCTGGTTCAATGAAAAGGTAACCGACCTTCCCCTTCATGGTGAAGCCAATGGAGGTCGGTTACCATTTCAGATTTTGCTCATCTTTTCCTTTTTCTCATACTCTAGAGCAAAGAACTGACTACAGAAATCGATAGCAACATTGAACAAATGTCCAGCCAAAAAACTGAGATTACCGAATTGAGACGCACTGTTCAAGGTCTGGAGATCGAACTACAGTCCCAACTAGCCCTGGTATGTTAATAACTCTCTCACACACAGTTTCATGCTCATGCAAGAATATGTCACACACACACACACACACACACACACACAATGCGGAGCTGGGGTACGAAAGTAGAAATAAAAATTGGAGCTCTTGTTAATGGGAGAAAAGCATCATTGGCATCAAATGTAAAACACAAATTCTATTCATCTTATTTATGCTTCTATATGATGTCTGAAGTTGTTAAATAAATGTCACTGTACTCAACTGAACGAGGGGGTCGCTAAGCCACAATCTATTCTCTCCCCTTTTCAGAAACAATCTCTGGAAGCCTCCCTGGCAGAAACGGAAGGTCGCTACTGTGTGCAGCTCTCCCAGATTCAGGCGCAGATCTCCTCTCTGGAGGAACAACTGCAGCAGATTCGAGCTGAAACCGAGTGCCAGAATTCTGAGTACCAGCAACTCCTGGATATTAAGATTCGACTGGAGAACGAGATTCAGACCTACCGCAGCCTGCTAGAAGGAGAGGGAGGGTAAATTATATCATTTTTTAAAATTATCCCAGTAGCTTTGATTCGCTATTCCAAATCGCCAGGCTTTCCTAAAACCCAAGGAAGTGCCAGAGAATGGAAAATGGGAAAGCAGGGAGGAGGCAGAATTAAAAAAAAAAAAAAAAGGCGTGTGGAACCAGCCTGTTTCTCACGTATTTGATTCTGAGGGTTGTGTGTATATAAAATGGTGTTTAAAGACTGTGTTTTAGAATTGAAAGTTCATACTTGGCAGGGTGGTTTTTTCCCCCTTAAAACGGGTTTATTTTCTAAAGTAACAAAAAGCCGGAAAGCGACCCACCGTCTCCCAATGTTTGAGTGAACTGAATGTGACGTTTACTCCCTGCAGTTCCAAAGGCGGCTACGGCGGCGGCGGA